GGGCGGGGCGGCTACTGCGCCTGCGCCGGGGGCGGCGGCGGAGGAGGAGGTGAGGTTGGTGGAGGGAAAGAGCGGCCGCGCGAGGCACCACGGGATTGAGGCTCGTGTCGCGCGCGCCCCCTCGTGGCACCTGTGTTATTGCACCCGCCGCCAGCCTCTTTGGAAGTGGTGTGGGCCTGGCCCCGGGTTCAGCTACACAGGCAGGTAGACAGCGCACAAGAAGTCATCAGCAATGAGGAACACCGAACACCCTGTTCCTCCAGGAAGACTGGAGGATTGCCCAGCGCCTCAGCCTGCTCTGGCTCCCCCGTCCCTGTCAAGGCCCCTCTTGAGCTGGGTGATGCTAGTAAATTAGGGGCTGCTGTGGGTGGAGGAGGAAGCTGGCTGGGAAGGGGGCTTCTCCACCCCCTTCCCACACAGGGTGCCCTGGGCCGCTCCTGTTGTTTCCTCGGCGGACCGAGGCCCTCTGTGCTCCAGAGCAGCCCACGGAGCAGGGCTGGCTGCCACCTGCCGTGCACCCTGGCTGGGGTCCCGGGAGGGCACACGACACCTCCTATCCAGTGTCAAGAGGCCGTGAAGCTGCCTTAGAGTCTAGAATCCTGATACAAACGTCAGATCTTCAGATTACGAACTGACAGGTCCACGGATCCGACACATGCAGCAATGCAAAATCCACCTTCACTCGTGCTGTTGTAGGCCCTGAAGAACTCCCAGACTACACAGCTACAAGACACAAGGTCCATAGAGCCATGTTCTTGGAAATAAGCTAGCTGGGTGCCATGGAGCACATCTCCGCTATGCCAGAGGATGGCCTGAGACCACAGAGGAAGGTCCGGGTGTCCCGACTCCAGGCTGCCCTCCAGTGCCCAGCCTCCACTTGCTCCTGGCACCGGAGACCATGCTGGCCACGGGGGCTGACCGCCAGAGGCTAAATCTGGGATCTGGCTGCCGTGTGTCCTGGCCCTCACTCGACCTCCGGCTGGTGGCAGGGAGGCCCCTTCCTGCCTGCGGGGACAGCCGCCATGGTCAGTGGGCTGGAGCCCGAGCAAACTGGCATTTCTGGGGAGGGGGCAGGGGCAGCACTTCCTGCAGGGACCGTCCTGGGGCTGGAAGTTTAGATGACATGGAGGGCCAGGGCTGGGCTGCGGGCAGAGAAGGGGCGAGAAGGCCACCTGGCCAGGGCTCAGGGTTCATTCTCACCGGTGGATCCTTCCCAGAGCCCCCAGTAGCAGGCGGCTTGGGAGTGTGGAGGCCCCACCCTCAACATCTCAACCCCTCTCCTGGTCCCGGCCACAGGTGGGTGGGCAGCCCCAGGGGGCCACCTGCCCACACCCCAGGCCTCTGGCTCGCTTTCCAGATGTGGGCAGTGGGCTCATCCTGCCGCTGCCCCGCGAGAGCCGCTGGCTCTGAGAGCCTCTGTCTTGTTCCCCCAGTCCCACCGGAAGTTCTCCGCGCCTCGGCACGGGCACCTGGGCTTCCTGCCGCACAAGAGGAGCCGCCGGCACCGGGGCAAGGTGAAGACATGGCCCCGGGACGACCCCAGCAAGCCCGTGCACCTCACCGCCTTCCTGGGTTACAAGGCGGGGATGACTCACACGCTGCGGGAGGTGCACCGGCCCGGCCTCAGTGAGTGGCTGCTGCACGTGTGTGTGTGTGTGTGTGTGTGTGTGTGTGTGTGCAGGTGTACAGCCTTCCAGGTATGAGCTCAGAGAAGTCAGAACAGGGAGAGCGCCGGTCCTGGCTGAGCGCTCTGGGGTTCAGTCACCCCTACAAACGAGGCCCGGCTCAGAGCCCGGGAAGTGGGGCCCCTGGGCTTAGAGCCCCTTTGGGCAGTGGGTGTTGGCAGCTTGCTTTTCCTTTTGTGATCATGGTAGCTTCACAGGTAGGCGTCGGAAGTGTCGCTTCCCAGAGGTGTGCGCAGCGGAGTGTGTGCGCAGATCTGACATAGCGACATCGTCCTGGGTCCCTGTGGGTGGTGCTGCCGCTCCCTGCAGCCCCTCCTCAGCCCCCAGACGCTCAGACCCCGCCCTCTCATGGCCCTCCTCCTCTCCCTTTTGTAGGATACACGTGCCAGGCAATGTGAGGCCCCCACCACGGTTACTTCTCAGTGGCATTAGTACAGGTTTCCTGGCTTTCTCAGGTCTTCTCCCATCCCTCCCTCCTTTTTACCCCTCCCTCCCTCCCTTCCTTCTGTCCTCACTTCCTTCTTTTTTTTTTTTTTAATTTTTTTTTTTGGGTCCGGTAGTGGGGCCTGAACTCTGGGCCTGGGCACTGTCCCTCAGCTCTTCAGCTCAAGGCTAGTGCTCTACCACTTGAGCCACAGCGCCACTTCCGGCTTTTTCTGTTTATGTGGTGCTGAGGAATCGAACCCAGGGCTTCATGCATGCAAGGCAAGCGCTCTACCACTGAGCCACCTTCCCAGCCCTCCCTTCCTTCTTTCCCTCCCTTCCTCCCTAATTCCTTTCTTTCACTTATTTGCTTCTAGTAGGATTAGGACTCAGGGCTTTCTTTCACTTTAAAACTATGTATTTCAAGCCAGGTGCTGGTGGCTCATGCCTGTCATCCTAGCTACTCAGGAGGCTGAGATCTGAGGATCACAGTTCAAAGCCAGCCGGGGAAGGAAAGTCCGTGAGACTCTCATCTCCAATAAACCATTCAGAAAACTGGAAGTGGGGGGGCGGGGGAGGTGGCTCAGTGGTAGAGCGCTTGCCTTGCATGCATGAGTTCCTGGGTTCAATTCCCCAGCACCACATAAGCAGAAAAGAAAAAAAAGCCAGAAGTGGCGCTGTGGCTCAAGTGGTAGAGCACTAGCCTTGAGCTGAAGAGCTGAGGGACAGCACCCAGGCCCAGAGTTCAGGCCCCATGACCAACCCCCCCCCAAAAAAAATGTATTTCAGGCTGGGAAGGTGGCTCAGTGGTAGAGTGCTTGCCTAGCATGCATGCAGCCCTGGCTTCAATTCCTCAGTACCACATAAACAGAAAAGGCCGGAAGTGGCATTTTGGCTCAGTCTAGTAGAGTGCTAGCTCAGGGACAGTGCCAAGGCCCTGAGTTCAAGCCCCAGGACTGGTCAAAAAGAAAAAAAAAGAATGAACCGGGAGTCTGGCTCACACCTGTAATCCTAGCTCTCAGGACTCAGGAGGCTGAGATTTCAGAATCATGGTTCAAAGCCAACCTGGGGAAGGATAGTCCACAAGACTATTTCCAATGAACCACCAAAAAGCTGGAAGTGGCGCTGTGGCTCAAAGTGGTAGAGTACTCGTCTTGAGCAAAAAGAACTCAGGGACAGTGCTGAGGCCCTGAGTTCAAGCCCCAGGATGGACACACACACACACACACACACACACACGTCAGGATGCTCTGCAGGGCAGCCTCCCTGCCCGAGGGTCAGGGCTCATGCTCTCCTGGTGGCCCCGTGGCCAGCTCTTCTGCTCGCTTCCTGTGGGCCTCAGGACCGTCCCTTCACTGCCCTGTCCCTGGGTCTCATCCAGAAATTTCCAAGCGTGAGGAGGTGGAGGCGGTGACGATTGTGGAGACGCCGCCGCTGGTGGTGGTGGGCGTGGTGGGCTACGTGGCCACCCCACGCGGCCTGCGGAGCTTCAAGACCATCTTCGCAGAGCACCTCAGCGACCAGTGCCGCCGCCGCTTCTACAAGGACTGGTGAGCCGCGGCCCACGCCAGGCCGAGCTGGGGCGGGGGGGGGGCTGTTTTGTGTAGCCGGTAGGATGCGTGTGCTCGTGTGTACGTGTGTGTGTGTGTCTGTCTTCACGTCAGTGAGAACTGAGCACACAGTAAAGTACTGGGGAGGAAATTGTGGTCAAGGAGAAAGGAAGAGGATGCTCCAGTCTCATTTGATGACACTGCAGAGCTGACTGAGCTTCCCAGCGCCGCATGCGAAAAGAACAGTCAGCCTAGAAGCTTTTTGTGTGTGTGTATCATGGGGCCTCAACTCCGGGCACTGGGCCTGGCACCTTCAGCTCTTCAGCTCAAGGCGAGCGCTCTACCACTTGAGCCACAGCACCACGTCTGGCTTTTTCTGCTTATGTGGTGCTGAGGAATTAAACCGAGGGCCTCAGGCATGCAAGGCAAGCGCTCTACCACGGAGCCACCTTCCCAGCCCCACCAAGAAGCTTTTGTACGTAGAAAGAAAGGCTTCCTCAGGCCTCTCTGTTCCCTGATGGGAAGGCCCACCTGCCCCAGGAGCCTGTCCCGCACCCCAGTTATCACTTGACGGAGACCCCAACACCACACTCTCCTGACCCTCTATGAGAGGAGCCGAGCATGGGTCCCAGTCGGTGCGGCCTGTGTGCCGGAGGCCAGCCGGCCAGGCCCTCTCCGTCCCTGGCCCTCTGCTGCCAGCGGGGCGGGGAGCTCCGTCGTGTGGCTGTCCTGAGGACGAGGTAGGGGAAGGCTCAGAGTGTTGGGCACAGGGCACAGGACCCACCAAATGTCAAGCCGTCCTGTTTCTGCTGTGCTGGCCATGCCCTGGCCTCCTGCCCAGGGGCTTTAATCCCCGCTGGAGTGGGGATGGTGTTTTCCACCTTCCGGATTCGGGCGAGGGTTAGACATGATGTGTGCCACCCCCGAAGCATGACACCTGTTGGCAGCACCCACTGCTGGCCTTAGAAATGTTAACAATGGGGCTGGGAAGGTGGCTCAGTGGTAGAGCACTTGCCTTGCATGCCTGAGGCCCTGGGTTCGATTCCTCAGCACCACATAAGCAAAAAGAAAAAAGCCGGAAGTGGCGCATTGGCTCAAGTGGTAGAGCGCTAGCCTTGAGCTGAAGAGCTGAGGGACAGCGCCCAGGCCGAGAGTTCAGGCCCCACGACCGAACCCAAAAAACAAAAACAAGAAATGTTAACAATGCTGGGCATGGTCGCTCATGCCTGTAATCCTGGCACGCTCAAGGTCAAGGCCAGCCTGGGCTGAATATTGAGACCCTGTTTGAAAAAAGAAGAAAAAACGAAAGAAAAGAGGAGACTGAGGTTCCCTGCAGACGGGGGTAGGGTGGAATGGTGGCTGTGGTGAGGGGTTGGGGCTGGGGGGCTCTGAGCGCTTCCTGTATGCGGCGTAGGCACAAGAGCAAGAAGAAAGCCTTCACCAAGGCCTGCAAGCGATGGCGGGACACTGCCGGCAAAAAGCAGCTCCACAAAGACTTCGCCGCCATGAAGAAGTACTGCAAGGTCATTCGGGTCATTGTCCACACCCAGGTCAGTCCCCCTCCCCCTTCCCCCCTCCCCCGTCCCCAGCAGCCTCCAGGAGCCTGACAAATGTCTGCCTAAAAATACCAGGAGCCGTGGGCACAGGCCCAGGGGCTGGCTGCCCAGCCCCAGAATGGGGTGTTGAGTGCCAGGGTCCACCAGCCGTGCCCCTCTGCTGAAGGTGGTCTTCAATTACCCGAAGGGTCCCGACCTCCAGCCTGAGGGCCGGCCGCACCGGGACCTGGCCTTGTGTGGTGGGTGGGAGGCAGTTCTGGAAGCGTCCTGGGTGTGTGGTCTGGGGGAAGACAGGGACTGTCTCACTGGTAGCTAGTGTGAATTGTGGCTTCCTGCTCATCCCCAGGGCAGACTCGGGGCAGAGGCCTGGGGCAGGGACCACGCTGTAGGGCTCCAGGCTCCACAGATGCTTCCTGAGCATTACACCATGATCTAAGTCTTGTGTCCCCCACTGCTTCCCTGCACACACGGGCCTTCCATGTCAGCCGGAGTCCCGCCGCTGCCTGCCACCTCTGAAGACAAGGCTCGGGCCTCCGCTCTCCTCTGTCCCTGCCCCCCTCCTTTCCTTCCACCATCTGTTCATATTGACCCCCTTTCTGTCCCACCAACTCCTCAAGATCTTCTCTGCCGCAGGGCCTTTTCCCAGGCTGCTCCCATTGTCGAAAGGGCCTAGTGAGTAGCTCCTTCCTGCTATTCCTGTCACTTCTAGAGCGGGTACCTCATCACTGTAGCTGAAGCACCCCCTCCCCCAGCCCGCTGACCCTCTCCAACCGTTCCCCCAACTGCCCGTCCCCCTGCCTGCCTCCTCTGAGCTGTACCCGCGGTGCCTGGCCTAGACCCGGCCCGTGGCTGGGGTGCGCGAAGGTGGGGCCGACTCCGTCTCCTCGTCCCACAGATGAAGCTGCTGCCCTTCCGGCAGAAGAAGGCCCACATCATGGAGATCCAGCTCAACGGTGGCACGGTGGCCGAGAAGGTGGCCTGGGCCCAGGCCCGGCTGGAGAAGCAGGTGCCGGTGCACAGCGTGTTCAGCCAGAGCGAGGTGATCGACGTCATCGCCGTCACCAAGGGCCGCGGGGTCAAAGGTAGGGTCGGGTGGGGGTTCCGGCCCCTGAGACGGCCGGGTGCGGGGGGGGGGGGGGGGTCGGACAGGCCTCTCAGCCACCGGCCCCGGCCGTCCGCAGGGGTCACCAGCCGCTGGCACACCAAGAAGCTGCCACGGAAGACGCACAAGGGACTGCGTAAGGTGGCCTGCATTGGCGCCTGGCACCCGGCCCGCGTAGGCTGCTCCATCGCCCGGGCTGGGCAGAAAGGTTACCATCACCGCACAGAGCTCAACAAGAAGGTGTGTGCACAGCCTGCGGAGCCCGCGCCACTGGGCCGAGTGGGTACCAGGCAGGCAGACGAAATACCCCTACCAGGGCCTGAGCCACAGCGCAAGCGCTGACAGGCGTGGACATCCTAGACACACACCGCCCTCACCCTCCCTCCTTCTCCTGGCAGATCTACCGCATCGGCCGGGGGCTGCACGTGGAGGACGGGAAGGTGGTCCGGAACAACGCGTCCACCAGCTACGACGTGACTGACAAGTCCATCACGCCGCTGGTGAGCGTGGGCAGCCAGGCTGCCCTGGGGGCCATGGCAGTGGGGGGCCCAGACGCAGCGGGGCGCGGCTCTGCTCCGGGAGCTGGAGGCGTGTGTGCACGCCACAGCCAGACGGGGCTCAACGGCCTGCCAGGCTGTAGCCGGGATTCTATACTGTTAAGTGAGACGATGCAGGAAAAGGAGTTAGCCTGGGGCTCAGACACGGCCCCGTCCGCGTTCGAGCGTGAGGGTGGCACCCCTGCTTCTGGAGGTTACTCAGGGCTCCTCCTAACACAGCCCCGCTTGCGGGATTCTCCCAGGGCTCCCAGTGTCAGCCCCTGAGCTGGCCTGGCCTGTGTCTGTCTGCTCTGAGCCCTGTCCTCCTCCCCTTCCTCAGGGCGGCTTCCCACACTACGGGGAAGTCCACAACGACTTCGTCATGCTGAAGGGTTGCATCGCGGGCACCAAGAAGCGGGTCATCACGCTGAGGAAGGTCAGCGCAGGCTGGGGGCAGGACCCCACGGTGGGCTGGCCTGGACATCACGTCTTGTCTCCCAGCCTGCTCTGGGTGGGGTCTGGCGGGAAGTGACCGGAGGGGAGGGGAGGGGAGTCTCTGGCCTTGACGCCTCCTCTCCTGTGGACCCCCAGTCTCTCCTGGTGCACCACAGCCGCCGGGCACTGGAAAACATCGAGCTCAAGTTCATTGACACCACCTCCAAGTTCGGCCATGGCCGCTTCCAGACAGCCGAGGAGAAGAGAGCCTTCATGGTACGCTGCCCCCCACCCCCGGGGTCACTCCTGAATGGGTGGCGGGGGGCGGGCAGGGGTCACCCCGGCTGGCCCTCAGGGGGGGCTGGGCAGGGGTCACCCCGGCTGGCCCTGGCGGGGGGCGGGCAGGGGTCACCCCGGCTGGACTGCGGGG